TTTTATTTTAATTATAACATTATAAAATATTTTTAATAAAGTAATAAAGTTGAAAGGTAAAATTGTCTTTAGAAACATTGCAGAGTGTAATGTAATGTGATTGTATTGGTTTTGGATTACAATAACATTACATCCATTAGCTGTAATGTGATTGCATTACAATCTTACATTACAGTGATCTGTTACAAAATAAATACTGTAATATAATTTAATAAGTCACATTACAAGAAATGCTTTACATCTTTGATGCCAAACAGACCCTGGTCTCCAGTTCGAATCCAGGCGATGCCAAATGTTTTTTGTCCAATTTTTAATCCTGCAACGACGTCGTTACCTTTTCTTCTCCTTTCTCCACAATCGCCCCCGCGTGTCACGGAAAGGTGCCCCACACGGAGACAACACAAGTAAGAAAAGCCAACAGAGCCCAGCCAATGGCGTATGTCATTCGCATCACTTCCTATCTTCTGATTGGTTACTTGAGGCCACGTCACCTTCCACTAGATCCTCCGCCACCCATCCAGAAACTTCCCTATACCTAACTCCCAATAAATCTGTTTTTTAAGAAAAAAGTTTATCCAAAAAAAAAAAGAAAATCAAAATCTTCGAAGCTCACCTCCGAATTCTCTCTCTCTCTTCCTCTTACGGTGTTCTTGTCGGTCGACGACGATGACGTTTGCCAAGTCTTCATCCTACACCGTGGCATTGATTTTTGTTTTATTTACGATTCTATCCTCTTCCCACGCCCTGGTTTCGACTCAGTATCCTAAAGCCATCTCTGTAAGCATTTGTTTAATTACTTTTTTGTTCCATTCATTGATTTTTCTTTTATATAATTTGATGGTGATTTTTTTGTTCTGGGTTTAGGATTTGAAAGAAGCAATTGTGAAGGGATTGGGATTCCAAGCCGATGATCTTAAGGTTTCAGGGTTCGATCTTGGGGATGCCCTTGTTGGCCATTCGGTGTCATATGAATTTGACGTTGAAATCGATAAGAAGGTGATTCCGTTTAAGCTTTCGGAGGATGTGAATCGGTGGGAGTACGTAGATTTGCCAATTTTTAGGGTGGAAGAGCCAGCTAGACCCGGGGATGAAAATGGGTTGGTGGAGCAGAAGAGGAAATCGGACAATGGGTTACCCGTTTTGGCCCCGTTCCAGTTGGCCGGACCCATGGAGCTCTGGATTCAGGATGCCAAAGATATGCGCATCTCCTTGCCGGTTAGTTTTTCCTTTTTCCCTTTTATTTTATTTTTTTAAATAAAAGATGTTTTCCTTGAAGTTTGAAGTGTTTCTTATCATGAGAAATTTCGTAATTTACAATCCTAGTATTTGTAAATAGCAAAAACTAAGGATGTAGTTCTTTGCTTTGGCCTTTGGGAATTTAGATTTTCTTCTTTGGGGGTTGGCAATTTAGATAAGAGGTCTATTGCATAAATTGTTTTGAAATTTGTTTATTGATCTTGCTGTTGCTTCAATTCTGCAGCATGATGTGGATGCTGGTGTGTTGAAAAAGGTAGTTTTAGCAGATGGCGCCGTGGTGACTGTCAAGGGTGCGAGATCAGTTAGCCTGCGCCACCCAATCGATCTTCCTTTACCTCTCAACGGAACTCATAATGGGTTTGCATCTGGCCTTATGGCCCTGGCTGAGCATCTTCGTGTAGCTTCTCGCGGTCAAGATGCTCCAATCCTGTCCCTCCGTATTGTTGGCCCGACTTCCCTTAGTGTTCCATCGTCTACATCTTCAAATAACAAGTTGAAGCTTAAGCGACTTGCCCCTGGCCTTGTGGAACTATCCTCAATGTCAAAAACCAAGGCCATGGATGCCCTTTCCACTATTGATCCACAAGCAGAATCCCCTACTGTTCTGACCCCAAAGCACTTTGCTACAATGTGGCCTCTTGCTTCCATCAACGGTTCAAATCCCAATTTGGTTGGTTTCGAGATGCTGCTATCTTCTGTGCTGGGTCCGAAGGCAAGCAAGAGAGGTTCTTTCAAGTTATTGAAGGCTGATGTGTCAGCTCAGACGTTTGTGAAGATTGGGTTTGGGATTGAAAGGAAGTTGAAAGAAGGGGATTTGGAGGGTTTTCCTCGGTGGAGGACCAAGCCTGAGACAATGAGGATGCATTTGGAGGTTCTGGCTAGGGTTGATGGTGAGAAAGTTATACCAGAGAGAGTGGTGGAGGTTAACCCTGTTGTTATAGAGGATACTGTGGCACCAAATGTGCTGACAGGGAACATCACAATGTCAACAACTCCTGTTGTTTACACTCCTTCCAACCCCTTCACCTTGTAAATTGTTAAAGAGAGAAAAGGATTACAGATTTTGTCGAGTTAAAAGAAACTGTAAAGATGAGTTGAGATCAACTATACCTTTTTTTTTTGGGGTTCATTCTTGGAATATCTAATGAGTTAGAAGAATTGTAAGTCTCTATAAATTTGTTGAATAAAGTTAAAGATGGCATTATCACTACCCGTTGAGTATAATTCCTTCTATATTCTATTCTGGGAATCAAATAAAGCCGTGCTGGTGCTAGCTTTTCCAAGTAAACCTGAAAATTAGCATATCATTGGCAATGGGCTTTCAATGGATGGGGCAGTGGTGATGTTAAATATTAGCTGATTCTTCAAAGTAACAAAACATGTACCAAGCCCTGTAACAGATTTAAGAAAGCTTAAACGTAATCAAGTCCGGCTCATCACCATTTCATTTCTTGATAAAGGAAATCCCCTTCTGAATGCTTTCTGCTAACTCTTTCTTTGCTTTTGCCAGCCCAACCCTGTCAAAAATCAGAAGGAATTGATTGAGTTAATATGCAATCCAACCTGAAACAGTGAAAGTGCTTGCAATTTGACAAATATAATACAATACACTTTTATATTTACCTCTCATATTCGTTTAGAGGCCCTAGCTGATAGACTTCTTCAGCTCCAGTACGACCGAGTCTTACCTTGGTTGCAAAGAAAGGGAGTTCCGTAACCTATGATTGAGAGTGTTCTTGGTTATGATAAAATGGTGAAAGTGCAAAACTAAGAAGATGTTGGCATGAAAAAAAGGTTTGAAGAGCGTACCTGCGAAGCGACAAAGGCACATTCAACTATTCCTGCATCTCCTCTCAAGCCTCGGAGGCATGCATCTGCGAATTTGACAGCTGCATATGCCTATTACAAGTAAAGGGCTTCCCTTTAGTTGTTTGAATTTACCTAGATTAAAACCATTACGGTATAAGTTGAAGTGAAAATGAGCAGATAGAATGACCAACCATTGACAGTGTAGCAGATCCAGCCCCAGCTTTTGCCTGTATAGGTGAAAAGTATCAAAAGATGCAACTTAATTGTGAATCTATCAATTCTGATTGTGAAACATACTTAAAATATAAATGAATTCACCCGTGGGAAATCTAATTAAAGCAAGTTTATTCAGGACTTGGTCCAGTTTAACTAAGAACTTGCTCTTGGTTGCTACCTAACATGACCGATTCTGCATGCTCTGTAAGAATAGGAAATACATTTTTGTACCTCTACAACTTCTGTCCCACCGTTTTGAATGCGGTTTGTAAGGTACTCAGTTTCTTCAGGGGTGAAGGTGCATGGAGGTTTAACCTGCAAAAGATTGGCAGCAAGTTAATTCAACTAATGACGGATTATCAGAACTGAGAACAAGTGAAATTTATGGATGTTCTTCAAGACCTGCGACAAAAGAGGCAAGATTGTCACTCCTGCATGACCTCCAACAACTGGGACATTAACTTCTCTAGGATCAAGACCCAGGACTTCCGCCTATATGAAAACATAAAAACTAGAGTGAAAACCAGAGATGCAGCAATGTTGCTATGTGATTTCTTGGTGCTCTAATGCAATAAAATGGTGAAGAAAACATTGATTCTCCCCATAGTCATTACATTATATGGTTATACATACCACAAAAGTGTTTGCTCTGACAACGTCAAGAGTTGTAACTCCCAAAAGTCGCTTTGGATCATAAGTACCAGCCTTCTTAAAAACCTCTGCTGCAATTGGAACTGTAGAATTCACCGGGTTGCTGATCAGATTAACAATTGCGTTTGGGCAGCACTTTGCAACTCCTTCACAAAGTGTCCTGACGATTCCAGCATTGATGTTGAAAAGATCATCCCTCGTCATTCCAGGCTTCCTTGGAACACCAGCAGGTATGATCACAAGGTCCATGCCAGTTAAAGCACTCTCAAGCTGCGGCTGCCCCAAGAAGCCACGCGCCTAAAACCCAAAAAAGAACGTTTCACTCTAAGGACCATCAATTTGTTTATATCTAAATGTTTCTGAATTAACCCATCATATCCTAGAAAAATTGTGTTCACTATTGAATAATTATAGAATAAATTCTAAGAAGAGAACTACATGGAGAAGAAATATTACCACTGCACCAGTGTCCATGTGACTGAGATCAGCTGTGACACCAGGGGCGTTCACAACATCATAAAGATGAAGAACCGAGACGAGTGGATTCATCTTCATTAACATTGCAAGAGGCTGGCCAATTCCTCCAGCTGCACCTAAAATAGCTACTTTGAATCCCGGTGCCCCTCCTTTTGCTCTGCAATCAGCTCGCCTCAAAGCAGAACTTTCCTCCATCTGTCATACGCAATCCACAACAATACATCAAACAACAAGAAAAGCCACGTTACTCATTGAAAACTTGTACCTGGAAGGAGATAACATAGAAGAGAACCTGGTGATTTGGAGGGTGGAGATGAGCTGAGATCCTGGCAATGCGCTGGTTAGCCTCTGAACTAAACTCCATTTCCTTTCTCTTCCGAGAGAGAGGGTGACAGTTGAAGGATGAGGTGGGAATAATATTACGTTGTTCGTGCCAAGAATGAATGGATTTAAACAGAAAAGCAAAGGAACGGATAAAGGTGAAGTTGACATAGATGCATATATATTTTCTTGGAAATTTTAGTTTGTGTGGAAACTAGTTTCTCAAGTCCTTATCCTATCTCTATTTGCAAGAGAAATGTGGCTCTCAAAACTCCTGCTTGACAACAGAAGTATGCTTGGTTTTGGTTTATTTATCGGTTGATAAAAACCCTGAGATTCTGTTTCTCTGCGCAAGAACGTATGGTGTCTGTTCATTGTTACTTGTAACTGATATTTGATCAAAAATGTTTTTTACTTCACCACCAGCTGCTGCTCGTCTATGGAATTAATCATGCATCCTCAAATCAATGCCCCAAGTATTAGACTGTCACGTGAGAAGAAAATTTAAGTGGTAAAAATTCCAATGGGGAGGAAAACGAAGTAAAAAAAATAAAAGGATAGACTGTGGGTCTTCATAGGAAAAAATAATGATGTTTAAACTCCATTATAAACCTCTACTTGTTTATACCGACCACGTGTTATGGACTGCTTGATTTTTATGTTATTTAGTACCAATAGCCCTTCTTGTTTCAATAACCGTCCTTGTCTTTGTATCAGAAACTAATTTATTATTATCCATAACATTTTTCCAATGCACACCATGAACGTTTTCTTCATTGCTATCGGTAAACATTCTTTTCTTCTATTATTTGGAGGGTCCAAATAGGAACAAATGCACAAGGTACTTGATTCACAGAATAAGGTGCAAACTTCCACCATAACCCAAAGCAATTTGCAACATATGACGATGCAAGAGTTTCAGAGAACGTAGTAGTAATATCCCAAAAAGAAGAAAATTCGATTATTTTGTGCATTACAAAGAAAACATTTAAATCGAGGGTGAACTACAATGGTGATGCAAATCCTCAAATGTCATCCTCCTCTTCCAGTTCAAGAGTAGTAATATTGTAGCTAAACCAAACTTATAGCAATTTGTTAGAGTTATATAACAAATTTTTAAAAATTCCAGCAACTCAGAAACATCTACAAAAGAAATGAAAGGTACGTTTGGCGTCGTGATAAAGGTTGAAGACAACAATTTCAGAGTAACAAAATTAGTTTTCAGCTAATCTGAGTACTTTTTCCTTTAATTGTAAGCAAAGGTTTAGTAAGACATAACTATGCCTTGGATTTCTTCCCTTTAGCTTCAACAGCTGGTTTGGCCTTGAAAGGCAGGAAGGACTTCCCACCCATGAACGGCTGTAAAGCTTCTGGTACTTCAACACCATCTTCCTTCTGGTAGTTCTCAAGGATGCAGCATATGGTCCTTTCTGTTGCTGCAAGGGTAGAGTTCAACAAGTGAACATATTGTTTTGCCTGCTCATTGTTCTGCAAGAGGAAAGCAATCACAGAGCATGAACCAAATCTCAACCAGTAAAACTCAAGACTTAAGATGATATATAATGGAGCTATAAAAGTAGTTTAGATTAATGCCAAACTGATTTGTACTCTTATGAAAGGAAAACTAAAAGTATAAATCCATTTAGATTTCCCTAAACACTCTTTCACTCTGCTGTTTGTATTGTGGCATACTTTCCTCACATATAACAAAACAAGTCAACAGGACCCACCTTTTTCTGCCCATATCTAATTTCTAGTCTCCTTGATTGATAATCTGTACAATTTGAGCAGGACACAAGCTCTCTGTAAGTCTGAGATGCAGGAAACCATGCTTCCAAGTCATACTTCTTGGCAGCAGCATCATTAAGGGCACCAGAAACAATCGCCACAATGTGATAAGGAAGCTTTAGCTACAAAACAAGATCCACGAATCCATGCAAAGGTTCTTCAGCCTCAAAAGTTCAAAGAAAAATCAGTTTTAACCAAAAAATGTATTTTTATATATAGGATAGGAAGGCATTATGTGCATAGCCAACTTTTATTAAAAGACAGACTAGGGTTGAAGGATAAAGTCTCCAACTTTTTATATTTAACACAATTTCATTTCACTAGGAAAACCCCAAAAAAAAAAATTGTCCACTAATAAGCACTTCCACGCGGCATGTGAAATAAACTATGAAGGTAGCCTGATTGAGCTCATTGGTCTAGCTAAAACCAATATTCAAAGAGTTTAACTATACATACCAATGAAATTAGATTGAAAAACAGGAAATTATTCACGTTCAGTAATTCATAAAAGAAAAGTTATACCATCTGGTAAAAGTCCTCTGAGTTTTTAATCATTTCCTCATGCATGTCCCAGGAATCATTGCCATTTGGGCTGGTAATGCAGAACTGCTCGACTTTCTCAAATTGATGAACCCGGAAAATTCCAAGAGTATCACGGCCATGAGAACCAGCTTCTTTGCGGAAGCAAGATGAATAACCAGCATATCTAGAAAAAATAATTTTCATAAACAAAAAGAAACAAAAATATTCTTTATAGCAAGAGGTATCACTTTCAAATGATTATTAGAACCTTATAGGTAGCTCTGAGGGATGGATCCAATCATCTAGGTGGTAAGCACAAAGTGGTTGTTCAGCTGTTGCAATAAGATATTTGTCATCACCCTCGCCAGTCACCTATTGATCATCAACTAAACCAGTCATGCTTTCTTATTCTAATGTAGAAAATAATTGGTGAAAAGAATGTCAGTTAATGAAAGACACATTCCTAACCACAAAGAACAACAACCATTTTCTTTTGTTTCATTTCCCAATACATAAGGGTAAACCTGCTGCGATAGTCCATATCAAAAATTAAATTAAACCACTTTAATTCTATAAAATAGTGCAAAATATAAACTGGAAAAGAAGGAATCAAGATTAGCTCAGTTGAAGGAAAGAAAATATCTCCAAAGTAAGTTCCAAATGTTACCTTGTAAAGTTCCTCATCAAATTGTGCCAATTGAGCACACTTGGCCATAACATCTTTTCTCATAAAGAATGGAGTTTGCAATGCTGTATAGCCCCTTTTCTCCAAAAAATCGAGCCCAAAATTAATCAAAGCTTGATTGAGACGCACCCCATCTCCTTTAAGGTAGAAACCTCTACCACCGGCTACATCAGCACCTATAGCACAAGACAAGGGAAAATCAGTTAAAGGTGATTCAACACCCAAACTAAGCCAATTTGCTAGCTGGATTCATGCATACAACAATATAAATTCATCATGACAAATACAGCCTAGGGTTCGATAAACTCATCTGTTGACCCGCACATTAGCTTAATAGAGAATTTACACATCTTAAAAACAATGAATCAATGTATTAACTTTAGATACGACAAAGCATGTTTATCCTGTAAAACGTATTACCCTTTTTTGTATCTGCAATCCCAAGGAGCTCGACGAGCTCGACATGGTTCTTTAGCTTAGGCTCCACCCGTTTCTCACCCCATGTTCTAATCACAGCATTATTCGCCTGCAGTGATTTGGTGAGATAAGTTATTACTCTGATTAACCATTAGCAATCAAAAACCAGGGAAATGAATAAAATTTGCAGTGCCACTCACTTCATCGTCACTGATAGGGACTGAATCATGCACAAGGTTCCCAAGTTTTTCCAATTTAGATTTCAAACCAGCCCAAGCTTCCTTAACCTCGACATCTTTCTCAGCTATGCTCTGTTTAACCTGCTCTGTCTTGGCAATCGTCTCCGATGCATCTTGCTTGGCCTTTTCCACACCAATTCCCAAACAATGCAGTTCAAACAAAAGATCCCAGCTTTAAGGGAAAACCAAATGAAAATTAAAAAGGGAAAAGCTTACAATTTTAAGTTGAGCGACTTGCTTGTTGATCTTGTTGAACTCCTTTCGCAGATTTTCAACTTCATATAGCACTGTAACAGAGATTCATTCATTAAAACAACACAACAAATGTAAACCGAAAGGTGAAAAATGAAAGGATGGATTGGGGTCAATACGTTGACGATAGACTTTATCGTGTTCGATGATAGCGTCGACATCTTCGACTTTGGCGAAACGACGCCGTTGGGATTCACGAATGATCTCGGGGTTGTAACCCTTCTCTTCTCTGAACAAATTGATGTCCAACATCTTCACTCCCGTCCTCCGCAAACAAAGGAAGGTGGCAGCCGACCGCGAAATGTTTTACTATAAACTCGAAAAAGCCCTAGCTTCAGGGACTGTTTGTTTTCCAAGGTCGCGTTATTCTTACCCTGGATAGATCTTATGGGGTTACGCCCCGTTCGGGATTATTGGGCCCATCAAAGATTCAAAAAAGCTTCATAAATTGGACCAAATGGGCTTGAGTCCCAACACCTTACAGGCCTGGTAAGAATTGGGCTTCTCCTTCTGCTTTAAATCTAAGAAAAATTAATTATAATTTAATTTGAATCACTCACTCTCTCTGTTTTTTTTTTTTGTTTGTCTCTTCGTGAGTTTACGGAAATTTAAATACGGATTTTGATTTTGATGTAAATTATAGATATTTAATGCTTTTTAATATAAAAAATAAATTTATATTTTTAATTCAAAAAATATATTTATTAAGTAGAGAAAATTCTTATTTATAAATCTTAAACTTATCTCATGAAATTGTTTTTTCACCTATAGAAGAGAAGAACCCACCATAGTCTAGATTTACCTCTACCCTGCTATCTTTCACAAGAGAATATTAAGTGTTTAAAAGAGAAAAATGACATATTTTAAACTATTTCAAGAAAAAAAGAGACGTAACGAGTATTACTTGATTTCAATTAATAATTAGATTCGATCAATTCATGTAGGAAGCAGCTTCACATAATTGAATTGAAACTTTGAAAATTTGTATTTTTTTTTTTTGGGTTTGTCTATGAGGGAAGTTATACTAAAGCAAGATAGTCCACGCATGGTAGTTGAAGAGTTGGCAAGTAGACGTCCAAGCTATCCTGGCCTGGCAGTGAAGGGGATGGATCTTACTGTTTTTTTTTGGTGGAAAAACTAAAGTGGGATTTGCCGTGTTGTTGAGGAACACAACCTTTATATTTTAATTGAGTTTACAATATAATTTAGAGCTTCAATTTAAAAATGGTGTATTATTAGTATTTATTTTTATCAATTTTTGAAAACGGGGTTAAGAATGAGTATTTAAATTGATTTAGTTTGAAAATTTAAAAATTGAATTAATTGAATTAATCAAACTAATCAAAATATATTTTAGAAATTAAAATAATTGAAGTCGAATTATATAATCAGTTCGGTCAGTTATTATTATTTTTCATAATTTTTTTTCAATAACACTTGATTTGTTCAATTAATTCAATTATAAATGATGGATATCCAAAGTTGATTAAAGAAATTAAAAAGACAATGATTTAAAACCGAAACCGAAATAATCGAACTCACTTAATCAAATTCAATGATTTGATGAATTATTTCAATTTGAATCGAATTCTGATGAACCCAAGGAAGGCTAAAAACCTATTAAGAAATTCAAGGCATCTTGTTTAGGTAAAATATTCGTTGAAGAGAAGTGATATATGGCATGGATTTCAATCTCTTCCTTTCTGGGTTGGGGTTGTTGAATCGGATAATGTCTTAATCACCCATCAAAAAGCTCACAAATCTGAGTCAGCAACGTACTCACAGATTTAGACTAACCGGGTAGCAATACGTTGATTCAACAAACAATTCCAAGAACTTGCCCATGCATTATTTTGCTCGGGGTTCAATCCGTTTGGGAACTTTTTCTCAGCCTGCAAGTCGGTGACAAGTCCAATGATCTGGACCCCATGGAAGAAATGTGTTCGTTTTCTGTCACTGTCTGTATTCCACATGGCAGCCACCCAGACGTCAGTCAAACGCGGCGGCTAGTGGTTTGCCACTGTTGGTCTTTCCAATACGACATTACGTTCCCAATTCCCATGGCTTAAAGCTCAAGAACATAGCGAGTGTTGTGTATTCGGGCCCCTTTCTGTAACCTTTTTGACTGGAAATTTTGATGCAGGCAAATGAAATTTCTTAATGGGACAAGAAAGTATGTCAGTCTTGCCAGGGAAAAGATGTTTCAAAATGCGATTCATGCAATGCCTTTGAGATGCTGGGGGGTGTTACTGTTTGACATCAGTCATTGCAGTACTCAAAAAAAGTTTGGTCATGGTTAATTTTTAGTGTGTTGCAGCTGGAATTGCAGGAAATGGGTTGGGAGTTCTGAAGCAATCAGGATCAGAATCACATTTGCCGACCATCTTTTTTGTCGGATGAGTACTCTTCTGATGAGACCCTGATGGAAAATGGACAGGCAAGTGCATGCATAACACTGGAGAATGGCCCCCTGCCTCTTAAAATATTCAATTGGGCAAGCGTTAAATGTTGACCAACGATTGAAATATGATGACAATGATCGTTCTACTCTGAAGATTACCCCCAGTTTCCTCCTACCAAACCTGGTGAAAATCTCCAGTCTTGGATGCTTGCTTGCTCAATTCGAAGAAAAAACAAAAAGAAAAAGAGAACCTGGCAACCTAACTGCTGTTGGGTGCCATTTGTCTTTTTTTTTTTTTTTTCTTTTTCCTTCAGCTTACGTACCATATTTTTCCATTGTAATAATCTGGTATCCGTATCTCTACACGTGAACTGTGCTCAAAATTTTCAACCTCTCAAAGCAGCTCTCGTGTTATAACCAATAGTTTGTTGCATTTCCGCACTTCGCTTACTACAACGCTGACGTAAGTTAGAAAAAACACTACACCTGCAGGCTCAATTAGCCTTGACTGGCCACCATGTCGGTCCGGCCAAACTTCCGGCAATGGCCTTCTACAATGTTTCTGTTTCTTCTTTTGTTGACCCTAATTTCTTTTGCAGAGGCTGATGAGCTGCAGATATTGCTGAACTTCAGGTCTGCTCTAGAAAGGTCAAATACTAATGTTTTCAGTTCATGGACAAAGGGAAATTCTCCATGTAACTTCACAGGAGTTGTTTGCAATTCGATTGGATTCGTGAAGGAAATCAATCTTCCCCAACAGCAGTTGTTTGGTTCTCTTCCTTTTGATTCCATCTGCGAGCTAAAGTACCTGGAGAAGATTGATCTAGGAAACAATTCTTTGCATGGCAAGATTACTGAGGACCTGAAGAAATGTGCAGGGCTGCAGTATTTGGATTTGGGACGGAATGCTTTTTCTGGAGAAGTGCCTGAATTGTCTTCTTTAAATGGATTGAAGTTCTTGAATTTGAACAATAGTGGATTTTTCGGGCGTTTCCCATGGAAATCACTGGAAAATCTCACAGAACTGACTTTCTTAAGCCTTGGTGACAATCCCTTTGACTTAACTCCATTTCCTTTGGAGGTCCTGAAGCTTGAGAAGTTGTATTGGCTTTATCTCACGAATTGCAGCATCACAGGACAGATTCCTGAGGGAATTCAGAACCTCACTCAGCTACAAAATCTTGAACTCTCTGATAACAGGTTGTCAGGTCCAATCCCAGCCGGAATTGTGAAACTCAACAAACTTTGGCAACTGGAGCTTTACAACAACTCATTGTCAGGAAAACTTCCTGTTGGATTTGGGAATCTCACAAGTCTTGTGAACTTTGATGCGTCAATGAATATGCTTGAAGGCGACCTATCAGAGTTGCGATCCTTGAAAGAGCTTGCTTCTTTGCAGCTCCTTGAAAACCAGTTCTCAGGAGAGATTCCTGAGGAGTTTGGTGAATTCCAGAACCTTAAAGGATTGTCACTTTACAGGAACAAGCTCACCGGTCAGCTTCCTGCAAAAATTGGCTCGTGGTCAGATTTCATTTTCATAGATGTTTCGGAGAACCTTTTGGTAGGTCCTATACCACCAGACATGTGCAAGAATGGCAAAATGGTTGAACTTCTTTTGCTACAGAACAACTTCACTGGCACCATCCCAGAAAGCTACACAAACTGTAAGTCCTTGGTTCGTTTACGAATAAATAGCAATTCTCTCTCTGGTACAGTTCCTGCTGGAATATGGAGCTTGCCAAATCTCTCCATAATTGATCTCACCATGAATCAATTTGAAGGTCCAGTGGCAGGTGATATTGGTAATGCTAAGTCTCTTGCACAACTATTTTTGGCCAATAATCGATTTTCAGGTGAATTGCCTACTTCAATCTCTCAAGCTTCATCATTAGTCTCAATTCAGCTTACTTCAAATAAATTTTCCGGCCAAATTCCGGCAACCATTGGAGAATTGAAACACCTTGGCAGTCTTTATTTGAATGGTAACATGTTTTCTGGTACAATGCCGGACTCATTAGGCTCATGTGTTTCTCTGACTGATGTAAACCTTGCTGGTAACTCACTTTCTGGGCAAATTCCTGATTCTATTGGATCTTTGCGTAATCTGAACTCCTTGAATTTCTCTGATAACAAACTCTCTGGTGAAATTCCAACTACTTTTTCATCTTCGAGATTAAGCCTTCTAGACTTGTCCAACAACAAGTTGGTTGGTCCCATACCCACATCTCTAGCTATTCAGGCTTTCAAGGATAGCTTTGAGGGGAATCCAGGCTTATGCAGCTCAAATCTGGATGACTTTCAGCCATGTTCATCAAATCCTGGTAGATCTAGTCATCTTCCAACATTTTTATCTTGTTTCATAGCTGGAATATTAGTCCTGCTTATATCACTAGGATGTTACCTGTTTGTGAGGGCAAGGCAGAGTAATCTTGATCATCCATTGAGGCAGGGTTCATGGGACATGAAATCATATCACATGCTAAGTTTCACCGAAAAGGATATCATTGATGCCATCAAATCAGAGAATTTAATAGGTAAAGGAGGATCGGGAAATGTCTATAAAGTTAAATTGGTAGATGGCAAAGAACTGGCTGTGAAGCATATTTGGACCTCAGATTCTGGCAACCGTAGAAGCTACCGAAGCACTGCTGCTATGCTAACAGAAAGGAACTTTCGGTCAATGGAATATGATGCTGAGGTGGCCGCATTGAGTGCCATTAGGCATGTGAATGTGGTGAAGCTGTACTGCAGCATCACAAGTGAGGATAGCAATCTGCTGGTTTATGAGTATTTACCTAATGGGAGCTTGTGGGATAGGCTGCACTCATGTCACAAGATAAAGATGAGCTGGGAGCTGAGATATGCCATTGCAGTAGGGGCTGCTAGAGGGTTAGAGTATTTGCACCATGGATATGATAGACCTGTTATACACCGCGACGTGAAGTCAAGCAATATTTTGTTAGATGAAGAGTGGAAGCCAAGGATTGCTGATTTTGGACTTGCAAAGATTGTGCAGAATGGTGGTGGAGGGGATTGGACTCATGTTATAGCTGGAACTCATGGCTACATGGCTCCTGGTAAGTTTCTTCTCCTTTGTTTTCTTCAGTATTATTGTGTGTGTTGATCAATGTTAGCGCCTACTACTCATCATTATAAGTTATAGCGGCATGGATAAAGTGCATTTAAAAGTTTATATTGCTGCAGAAAATTGATTTTTTTTACTTTTGTTTTTGTGGCAGAGTATGCATACACATGCAAGATAAACGAAAAGAGCGATGTTTACAGCTTTGGAGTTGTCTTGATGGAGTTGGTCACAGGAAAGAGGCCGGTAGAGCCAGAATATGGAGAGAACAAGGACATAGTGTACTGGATCCAAAACAAACTGAAGAGCAAAGAAAAGTTGGTTGAGGTGGTGGACTCGAACATCTCAGAGGGTCTAAAGGAAGATGCCATCAACGTGTTACGGATTGCAGTTCTCTGCACAACAAAGTTTCCTGCACTTAGACCTAGCATGAGAGCAGTAGTTCAAATGCTGGAGGAGGCTGAACCTGGTAAACTTACTGATATCATTGTTCATAAAAATGGTGAAAGTAGGCCCAATGGGAGTTGGAAGAACAATGGCAAGTTAATCTGAGCCTTTGAACTCATCATCCAGTAATGGTTGAAGATTGATTTTCCATGAAGTCAAGGAATTTGAAACCCTGAGTAAGCACTAAGCACCAGGAAGACTTTTTCTTTTTCTTAGCTGATAGAAGAGAGCAAAGTTACTTTCAACTGTAGCTGCAGCAGATTCTCTGGCTGGCAATAGCAGATGAAAAATATAATTATGTTGGTGTCTTTTCTTCCTTTGTATTATAGTTGCACCAGTTTTCTTTCAGAATCAAATAATGTAATCAAGGCTCTTTTCTCTGTTAACCGGCTGATGTACAAAAACAAATGCTATCTTTTGGGACAAAAGTGCTAGTAGCATAAATACAAAGCTAAAAAACTACAGCATAAATCAGTGATGATATCACTCTGGATTGCCCTGCCTGATGACAAAGAAGCTCCCAATTTTCTAGTTCTAAAACCAACTTCATCTGGCGTGGAAAGAAGCCTGGTTGATCATTCATCAACACAAACGAGGGCCCTCAATTCCAAAAAGGGTAGCAAATGGGAAAGGGTTAGATGCATAATGACAATAACAAATGAATTGTTGCCTGGGAAAATTTCAAAGAACATTTTGTGACTATATTTGCCTTTGAACATTGAATATTTGCATTGAAACTAAGGCCTGGGCTCAAAGTTTCCATTTTCGACTAAAATGTCTAAAAGCATTTGACATCGAAGATCAAGTAAGGGCAGGCCAAAGCTCGTGAAGTTGGTCACATGTTTGCCCAAGACTGGTTTGGAAGCTTCAAATTTTAGTCATACCTCCACGTTCATTGAATCAAAGTGTCATTTGGATTTGTTGAAAGGTTCCTAGAACAGTCACAAGGGAAGGGATAGCACACAACTTGGGTAATTCAATTTCTATTTTCTTATTATCAGAAGTTTAGGAAACACGAGGCAAAATTGTAAAAGAAGCATCAAGTACAGCACCAAATAAACATTTTTGTTCAGTATATCAACCCTTCAAGAATCAAAGTTCTTGGCTTATCTTTTAATCAGAGAATCATCTCAATCGCAACTTGCCAAGAATAATAAAAGATTAGAGGACCTTAATAACAAATTATTAAGCTATAATTTGGGGTAAAAGTATACTGAAGTTTTGTGCTTTTTAAGGTGAGTTTGGTACAAGAAAACAGGGAATGAGGATAAGATTAACATAATCCAAATATGCCAAATCAGTAGAAGACAATAATCCAATATTCCAAAGGGGTTAATTTTATGTGCCTAGGAGACTAATTCGATGCCCCAATGCAATGCTTATCGGTAAAGCCTCATTATCAGGCAGGCATGGGGCATCCTACTCATGTGAAAGCCACCATATAGTAAGAATGAGGTTAGGGATTAAATTTGTCCCAAAATCAAACTCTCTCTTCACTCAGTACTCACTTCCCACAATTCCTTCCTCCCTTCCTCACTTCCCTCGATCCCTTGCTTCAATTTCCAACAATTGCACTTTCTCAGGTTCCTTCCCTCTTGCCCTTTTCTCTTTTACTCAAAATGCTCAAGTTCTCTTTTTTATTCGTTTGTGCATGTGGGTTTGTTGAAATTTGCTTGCTTTGATTGCCTGTAGGGAAAAAGACGTCATCTTTGTTTTTGCAAAGGGTTAGTTATAAGACTGAGACTCAGTTAAGTGATTTAATGGAGTCAGGGAAGGAAATTCAAGAGCTTAACAGGAACCTTTATCCAGCTGTAGAGCCATATAGCACTGGTTTTCTCAAGGTTTCTGATATTCATACAATCTACTGGGAGCAATCAGGAAACCCAAATGGCCATGTGAGCATCCATTGCCTGTATCCTCGTCTTGAATTGTTTTTTTTCTAATGTAGCATTAGCTGTTAGGAATGAGGCGGGATATCTTTTACCTTGGATTTATTGTCAATTCTGTTCATGTTTTGCAGCCAGTTGTGTTTCTTCATGGGGGACCTGGAGGAGGAACAACACCAAGCAATCGAACATTCTTTGATCCTGAATTTTACAGGATCATTTTATTTGATCAGGTGACGCTATGAGCCTTTATGTTAACTGTTGACTATCCTTTTTATTTTTACCTCTAATTAGCATATATGTCTTGTTCCAGCGTGGTGCAGGAAAGAGTACGCCCCATGCTTGCTTGGAAGAGAACACTACATGGGATCTAATTGATGACATTGAAAAGCTAAGAGAACACTTGGAAATTCCAGAATGGCAGGTATTGATATGTGGTTTTTAATCACTTAATTAATGTCACGTTTGGATTAGCAGTTCTTGGTTGAGTTAACCATGTTGTTTTTATTTGCGTTCTGATTATTCAGGTCTTTGGTGGCTCATGGGGAAGTACACTTGCTCTTGCTTACAGTCAATCACATCCTGACAAGGTGCATAACCTGCTTGATTATCCGTTATTTTGTTGGTTGGAACTCTTGATACGTCAATCAGGTTACCTGCAATTCCATGAGTTCCTCCCCTTTAGTTTAAATTGATAGTTTCTCCATCATTTATTGTAAGGTTACTGGCTTGGTTCTAAGAGGGATATTCCTTTTGCGGAAGAAAGAGATTGATTGGTTTTATGAAGGTGGTGCTGCTGCTATTTACCCTGATGGTATGTTCCATGCACATTCTTTGCTGGTCTAATTGCAAAGGACGGTTGTTCTCATGTTGTAAGATAAGTTGTTGGTTTTGCCATGAGATTTTAATTTCCAGATACATGGAAAGAGGTTTGATTTGTAACGTTTTAACGAATTTCAAGTCCTTGGGATATGGAGGCAGTGAAAGTAAACCCATGCACGATAAAGAAATTTCAGATTGCTTAGGAACACTCTCAATGATTTAGACCCATATTTTATTGGTGTTATGTTGAGACTTTTTTGTTTTTTAATATGATTTTTTGCCTTCCTGCTGGGTGCTGATTAAAATATGCAAAGGTAATCACTGAATGGATATGCATTTCTTCTAAATACACAGCTTGGGAGCCATTTAGGGATCTTATTCCAGAAAATGAGAGGGAGAGCTTTGTTAATGCTTACCACAAGAGACTGAATTCTGATGATTTGGAAACACAAGTAAGACAAGTCATCTGCATTTGGATTCATTGCTTTCCTTCCTGTATATTTGTTCATTCTTGAACCTGTTATATTTTTTTTCGTCTGCTGCTTGTTTTTTAATGTGGAGAGTAAATATCAGAAATCATGCCTAAATTTATAAAAGAGAAAAAGCCAGCCCTGCCAATCGAATAAAGCATGACTTGAGTTTGGTTGCTTAATTGGAATCTGTTTGGAATCGGTGGTAGTGTCTTCCATGGAACCTATATTGCTTGCTATAGTTTATTCTCTAGTGAGATTCTCGACTTTGTTTTGCTTGTAATTTTATGGACAGCCTGATGATGTTCCTTCTTGAAATGTTTAAGCTATTGCAGCATTTAAACTTGTTTTCTCTGAATCAATCCTGTTACTGGATTCTTAGATCTATTCATTCATGTGCTGTATGACAACCTCGATATTTGGTCTTCCATCTTACTCATCTTTGTCTTTCAAGGTAGTATTCATTAATATTATTCCATATTTATAATTATACCTTCCCCTACAGATCCATGAATTAGTATTGTGGCAAGAGCTCTAATCCTTCTACCCTATTGATCCAGCAATAGCTATTATGGCTGGAGGTCTTGTCCTATTAGGTTAAGATTTAGACACTTGTCCTCATAAAAAGAAGGGAAAATCAGAGTTTGCCTTCATTTGGCAAAAAGTTCATGCCTAAAATGAAAGTTGTTGATACTCTAAGCAAAGTTGGATTCTTGGTTGAGACTCGTGAGCTTGCATTGTTTGTTATGTCGGCAATCGTTAAATGTTTTCTGTTAACTCTCTGGTTAACTTCTTAGTATGCAGCTGCTAGGGCATGGACCAAATGGGAAATGATGACTGCCCATCTTCTACCAAATGAAGACAACATCAAGAGAGGGGACGATGATAATTTTTCACTGGTAAGTTGATTAACCAAGAAGACCAGTTTGACCTAGAACTGGAAATTATAGAAAACTCTAAAGAAGATGGTAAGATTTTGCTGCAAATTTGATGGATTTGTTTATTCATTGTTCTGCTTAGGCTTTTGCAAGGATTGAGAACCATTACTTTGTGAATAAAGGATTCTTTCCTTCAGATTCATTCTTGTTGGACAATATTGACAAGATAAGGCATATTAATACTACAGTTGTACAGGTATGTATAACATTTACTACCCAGACATCGGGGACAACCTTTTTGCTTGTTCTTAAGATTTTCTAAGTAGACAGCATTGCAAACATGTTAATATAGAGTTTTGTGCTGAATTGTTTACTTGAAAGTGTCATTGTACGTGTAAGCAGTTAACTTTTTCAGTTGTTACATGGTGGTAGAAAATTAAGGGCACTAAATGCTTACTGAATAATACCAAAAGAGTCCCATGCTATGCTACTCTTGAATTTTTGCTGCTGTATGATATCTTTGACATGTGAATAAGACCAAAAACTTCTATCTTGCATTCTAGAATTTTGTGCGTGTGTAACTTGAAGAATCATTTTGAAATTCTATGTTCTGAGTCTGATACCATTGAACCACTTGAACAGGGAAGATATGATGTTTGCTGCCCTATGATGTCAGCTTGGGATCTCCACAAAGGATTTCCAGAGGCAGATTTTAAGGTAAGAACTAGAATAAGCTATTTGTCCTGTTGAAGATGTGATTTTACATGTTGGGGATGCCAGATGGAATCATACCTTGCGCCAAATTCTTCCTTGCAGCAGGTTGCTCTTTGAGAATTTATGTTTTAGTGTTTCTTGTTCATTTTGCATTTGCATTGCAATCACCCAACTTTGGAGACTATTCTTATCGCTTCTACATCCTTTTGCTTAATGGACAAGTCACTTTATTGTTCTGGTCAGGTTGTTTCAGATGCTGGGCATTCAGCGAACGAACCAGGAATAGCAGCTGAACTTGTGGCTGCAAATGAGAAGCTGAAAAAACTTTTAAAGAATTAACCTTGAAAACTAGAGTCAGCATGCAGTTGCAGTGCCTGACTACATTCCTAAATTGCAGAGGCGTACACATTGATATGCCCTGACATCCATCATAAAGGGCAGTAGTTTGAGATATCATTTGAAGAATGTTTAACAGAATGTCGGTTCACGTATAATGTTGAATAGCTGTGCTTCATCTGTGTAGGCTTTTCATTTCTGTTGGCTTTGTTTCTTTAAACTGTGGTTTTTGTTCTTTACTATTTCTTTTTATAAAAGAAATGAAGGACAGAAGAGAGCAATAAAACAACAATAAGAATGGCATATTTATCAGATTTTGGTAATGGAAACCGGTTAGACAGAAATTTGATGGAATGGATTTGCAATTTTCGTTCTGATACTGTCATGTTTGAACTGATTTTTTTCTTTTTACTTATATTCTTGAGACATTAAGTTTGAGATGGGAAGAACAGGGGTTCTAGTATGACATGAACAAGGAACAGTGACACAAATAAAAATATTTATATCTTGTAAAGGAATTAATACAAATGATTCTTGTATCACAAATGTTACAGCTTACAAACAATTACATTAAAGGAATTTAATATTTCCCTTAAGATTATGATAATGTTAATAACAACACAGCAAGCAAATCTAATTCAACGAAAACAGGTTGACGATTATGAAACATGTGCGCTACAATACTCTCCTTGTGCAGCTTTTAGGCACATGAATGCTATGGAAGTTTGGTTCCTTTGGAATGGTTGTATGCCTTCTTCCCTGAGGTTTAGTAGCTAAGGAAGTTCCACTCTCGTCAGGGTCTGATGTTTCCCTGGTTCTGGACATTGTAGGTGACATTTGCTTTATTACACCAAGTTGGCCAGGTTTCATGTTTGAAACCAATGTCTTCCTACTTGATGCAACCCTGCAAGAATAGGCAATCCAATTTAGACAGTTAGAGAACGAACATACACTAGTTTTCATTTATAAAGCACAGGGTAGTTTCTGAACAGGATTGCACTTACCCTCGTGGTCTCACTAGCGGCTTGATGGATGGTGAATTTATCTTTTCCAATCTACCCTCGGATTTCTGAGCTGTCTTTTCCAATTTGGTTTTCTGATGCATAGGAACAGTAGGTTTCTGTGGAGTGGTAGAAAGCTTTCTGTCTATAGCTCCTTTCGAAATCCTTGAGCATGAGGTTTTCATAGTTTGCTACAGAGTATAGTATCATAGGGTAATTTCAGCAATAGACAGGACTTAAAACTCTTTTTTCTACAGTTCTTAGAAATTAACTTACTGGTAGACCCTTTAGCGTTCTTGTATCTGATTCATTGTCAATTCCTTCAAGTGCACAATTAACAGTTTCAATTTGTCCAAGGCATTTTTCATTTCTCTGTATTCAAGGGAAGAAAAAAGTTAGTCTTAAAAGCTTTATTTACTCCCTGGGGTATAGTGAGAGGTCTAAACTCAAAGCACTCACTTGTACATTCTGATGTTTTCTCCATAAGTTTCCAGTTTGGGATCCTGGAACGGTGGTTGTTTCTTTCAAAGGTGCTTGAAAATGCTTCTTCTCCAAGTTTGCTTCCTTCAAAATTCCTCTTTCCTGAACAACCAGTAGATAATCAGATAACATGGAAAAATTTTTCTGCCTTTCTTCTTTTGAATATTATCCACGTTCCCAATAAACAATTTTGCATACATCAGTTCTAAGCCGAAAAGGCTTGGGATTTGTGGGCTTAGGTTTTCTGTACTTCATTCCTTGAGTGCTGTTGACTGCAGATGTGGAGTTCTCTTTTGATGTCTTGTTGATTAATTTGTTTACCTGCATCACAATGGACGGGTATCAGAAAGTGAAATGATGGCATATGATTAAGAAACAGATACAAAAAATGTGACATTCTTTTAAACAAGTTACCTTTTGAATACTTTTGGAAGTCTCATGCCTGCCAAGAACATCCTTTTTCACCAGCTTTCTCGTGGTGCAATTCAATTTTCTGCAACTAATTATCATGCAAATTCAATGGTGAATGCTGAATAATTAAGTGAATAATAAAAAAGAAAAATATAAAACAAATGTCATGAATTCCATACCTGTTTTCATCAAAAGCTGATGTGTTTTCCTTATCGTCATTTTCCATGACTTTGCTTTCACTTAATTTAGAGTGAGAGCCCAAAGAATTTTCTTTGTCATCACTCTCCACGGCTTCAGGGATTTCCTTGTCCTTTGAACATGGTTCAATATTCTCTTCGGGGCTGATCCTTTCATTCCTTTCATTGTGCCCTCCAGTTTGGGAATTGGGAGCATCATTGTCTCCAGAATTTGATAGGGATGAAATTTTGACTTTCTCATCTATTGTTTGCTCCAAGCTCTCTGAAGGGTTCTTACAAGTACCTGATGTAGAGCAAACTTCCAAAGAACCATCGTTCGATTTCGCCTCAATCTCCTTGTCAGTTGAATCCCTTTCATTCCCTTCATGAGACATAGGCCCCCTGGACAACTGCAAGTCTTTTTCCTTGTTCTTTTTCTTCAAACATTTTAAAGATTTAGCTTCCCTGTTCTTCTGATTCTGAGAATTCAAAGAATCATATACCCGGCTTTTAACCTCTCTTCCTCTTAGTTGTTTCCTTGAAGAATCTAAAGGTCTATTACACCCCAACGCATTCTTCTTACTTGCATCAGTGATATCAAGCTTCTTCATCTCTGCACATATCTTTCTTAAGGAACTACTCAATTCTACAGACTTCTTCAACTTCACTATCTTCTTTGGAGAATGAAAAACCAAAGCCTTGGCCACCACTCGACACTTTGGTACCTCAATGGTAGTCGGTTTCGGGTTCCCAAGACTTCGAAAAGTTCCTGGATTTGAGAGACCCTTTTTGTTCTTTGGAGTAGTCAAGGCTTTAGCAGATGCTTGCTTTGCTGCCTTAACATTTGGGGTGGTTGCATTCTGCTTAGGAGAAGGTCTAACTTTCGCTTTGGCTTCACCCATCTTCTGTGAAATTGATGAAATCATGGCCAATCTTGACACTCTAGACTTTGAAGATTTAGCAGGAACAGTACGTGGACATTGCAAAGTTGAACTAACATAACCATGAAAAGCAAAAGTACTAATGTCAATGCAAGATGTCCTTTAAGAAATAAGAAAAGGAAGACGATTTTCATGTGTATACCTTGCATCTTTAAGAGCCTTTCGAAGCCGAACATTTGGACTCCTAGCTGCCATAACCTGAAAAATTCAAATGCTTCTCAAGTTGATCAATCGCTTATTACAATATAAGAAAAATGGATGGAACGATACAAGGAAAAAAGAATTGGTAACAAACCCGAAGAACAAAATTCTTATAAATGGCTTCAGAATCCATTTCTTCTTCATGCTTCTGATCACATCCTAAGCAACACCAAAGCGTTGGGACATTAGGAGTCAATGAACATCTGCTTGATTTACCAAAATCAAGGAAACCCAATACCAATTTTAAGCTTAAGTAGAAAAAGTTACAAAGAAGAAAAGGAAACGCACCGACACGGTGGCAGAACCAGTAACCGTCATCGTCTTCGGTGCGGCAACGATCGGGTGCGGTGAGGTCCACGAACTTAGGAGCCTCGATCTTCTCGTAGAAGTCGTCTCCGATTTCTTCCTCGGCGGCGGCGCCTTTGATCTGAATTTCGTCCATTTATTGTCGCCGTAGATCTGAGAGAACAGGAGCGTGGTAGAAGGAAACTAGCCGGTAGAGAGGCAAAGGGTGTGGCAGTAGTTCTTGGAAGGCGAACCCTGAGAAGATTGGTTTAAATTCGTCGGGAGGTTCTGTAAGTAGCCGTTGGAGACATGATCGTAATACAATTTGCATCACAAGGGTTTTTCTGTAAATTTAGTTTTGGAATCAACAACCGTTTCCCGCTGGTCCCAATCGTCTTCTAATCCAAAATTTTTAAGGAAGAAGTGAAAAATGGTCAAAAATTATAAAATGAAAATAATAATTTTGTTTTAAGGAGAATAATTCATAGTGAGAAACTAAAAGAAATTTAATATTTGAATATCAAATACTAAATTATCCTTGAAACAACCATTAACTTGTTAAGCAAGTGAAAAAAGATCCTCATCACCAGCAATTATCCATTAGGTTCTAAAAACCCAATTTACAAAATTTGCTTTTTGTTTTTTGTTTTTTTTTAATTTTAACAAAAATAGTGTCGAGTCAATTTTTGAGTAGATACTACTGGAGACTATTGTACCATTAAAATAGGATAGACAGTAATAATTTTAAATCATAAAAAAATAATAAAATTTATTATTATGATAAATTTTTTAGAAAAAATTATGATAACACAATAAAAGTTTTTTTTAATGAAAATCGAGAAGTTTTGTAAAAACCTTTTTTGAGTTGTTTCAATGTTTTGACGAAAATCTAAAAAAAATTTTTTAAAAAAACTTTTCTTCAAGTTTCCCAACATGTTGACGAGAATTGAGAAAATATTTATTAAAAGAAAACATCTTGACTCTCCCGTGTTGGCAAAAATTAGGAAATTTTTATTTTTTTTTAATAAACTTAAGTCGAATTTAAGATTTCATTAGTAAAAATTGATTTACTTAGATAGCTAATCACACTTAAATAAAAAAAAAATAGTGATAACTTCTCTTTTACATCTAACTATTAGAGTAGTCATTTGTTATGACAATCAAGATAAAAGTTTTGACCACATCAAGTTAAAGAAAGTCAAAATTTTCTTTTAATAAAAGTTTTCTCAATTTTTTCCAGGGAAAATTGAGAAAAAGCTTTTTGCTTTCAAATTTTTTGGATTTTCGCTAAAACATTGGGTAAATTCTAAAACAGATTTTCATAAAATTTTTTGTTTTTGCTAGAACATTGGGAAAGTCAAAAAGAGTTTTTATTAATAAAAATTTCATAATTTTTGACAAAATGTTGGAAAAATTGAGAAATTTTTTTTTTAATTTTTAGGTTTTTTTTTTCAAAACTTGGAAAAATTCACAAAAGGTTTTATAAAATTTCTTGATTTTTACCAATATGTTGGGAAAGTCAAGAAGAGTTTTTATTTAAGTAAAATTTCTTAATTTTTGCCAACATGTTGGAAAAATTGAGATAAGTTTTCTTTCACCGTTTTGAATTTTTCTAAAAAATATATATACAAACTGATTAGTAAAAATAAAATTAAATATGGAATTAAAATTTAATAAAGTAAAAGATAAGACATGATCAATTTGGTACCATTTTACTAATACTTTTTCACAGGTAACTGCAGTTCCAAAGTTAATCCATTTCATACATTGAAACATATTATTTTTAATGCATTTAAGTTGAATATAGGATTTCATTAGAAAAGATAGATTTATTTAAGTGACCAATCACACCTAAATAAAAAAAGATTGGTAACGACTCTTTTACATCAATTTAAAAATTTGATTAATATATTATTAAAATTATATGCTTGATAGATTTTTTTATTGAATTTTGGCATAATATTTTAAAAAGCTCATAAGTTATTCAGAAAATTTCAAATAAGTTTCTATGTTTTTTATTATGCTTAATTAAGTCATTATATTTTTAATTTTGATCAAACAGACTTTTATAATTAATAGTTGATTAATAACAATATTAGTTGTCATTTTTATACCATATGATATTAATGTGGCAAGTTAACATGTCATAGTAAATGGTGACATAACATATTGATGTTATGCTAACATGCGACATACTGTTATTACATATTGACATATGATCATGCGACATTTTTCATGATATGATCATGTCATGTTATTTTTTATTTTTCACGTTAATGCCACATGGGTATAAAATAACAAGTAATGTTATACTAACATATTATGGTAGATAATGATATGATATGTTGTTGTGACATATTAGCATAATCATGTGATATTTTTCATGACATGATCATGTTGTGGTATTTTTCATTTTTCACGTTAAAGCTACATAGGTATAAAATGACAAATAGCTTTATACTAAGATGTCATAGTAAATGGTGATAGGACATACTATTGTGGCATATTACCATGATCACGTGACATTTTTGTCTTCCATACAACTTCGTGTTAAGATATTAAATGGCAAATGATGTTTTGATTAATGATAAATAATTAATCAACTTATCATGAAAAATCTATTAGGTGTAAAATAAAAGTACATAAAATCATGAAAATAAATATAGGGTAAAATAACCAGACTCTCTTAAGTTTTGATTATAATTTCACATAGCTCTATTAATATTTGAAATGAACAGTTTGCTTCAAACAAAAAAAATCTTTTGTTAGACACAAGTGCAGCGGTTAACTAACTATTAATGTTTCTGTTAGTTTGATGACATGGTAATATTTATCGAATAATTTTACCTTTCATTAATTTTAAAAATTTCCATCCTATATAAATTATAATTTTTTCTCTATTATTAAAAAAAGGTAAAATATGTAGATCCTTTAACTTTTAATCGAAATTCCAAGCGAGTCAATTAGTTTTCGAAAGGAATACTCCGTTCCAAAAAAAACTTCCCTTGAACACATAAGTCTAGCTTTTAGTCAACCGTTAGTATTTTTATTAGTTAAAAGACATGGTAATATTAAAAGGATAATTTTACTTTTTATTAATTTTAAAAATTACTATTATATAAATATTTTTAAAAAAATCAAGGGAGCAAAAAAAAAAATTCAAGGGAGCATTTGATTTGTGCTCCCAAGGGTGGGAAGCACAATTGTTTGAAAAAAAAATGAGAGAAAAAAGAAAAGGCATTTTAGTTCTTTCATATTTTCTATTAATAGTGTTTATATTTTTAGACAGACTATTCATTTTGAAAATTAATAGACTTACATAGAATGATGATTAAAAATTAAGAAAATGAGAATTTTTTACCAAAAAAAAAATCTCTTTACCTTACCTTTAACGTTCTCAAGGCTAGAGCGCAAAATTTAGCTTCGATTATGGGAACGCCAAATCCATCTCTAACCAGATCTCCTAATGGGAGTGCGATCTGGTTACACTCCCCCAATGCTTCCTAGAAGAGCATCAATCTCGCCCTCCCCTTGGACAGATTCGAACGAATCTAGCATTCAACTGCTAGATGCAGTCACAAGGTGACCGACCAATGTAAAGGAGTGTCATCGATCGATTTGAGAAAAATAGTGGAAAAAAAAGAAGTGTATTTTAGACATTTTTTATTTTTTCGTTGAGACCATTTACAGGTTTATGACAAACTGTCCATTTTTAATACTAATAGACTTGTATAGAATTATCGTCAAAACTTAGAAAGGTCAGCGTATTTTGCCCAAAATATAGATACTAACATTATATTCCTTCACATCATTAAAAGATGTAAAATACAGTAAAATTTTTATAAATTAATACCCTTGTGATCATAAAAATTTATTAATTAATTTAGATATTATTTGTTCAATAAATTAATAAATAATTAATTTATACATTAATTAATAAAAAATTAATTTATCAATTTTTTTTATTTTTTTCAAAACATTAAACTTAATACATGTATTGTGTATTGTGATTGTACAAATATTACCTAATTATGAATTATCATTATTCTATTTTTGCAACAAACTAAAATAATATTCGACATATACTTAATTAATATATTTCATGAACATTAAGTCAAATAAAAATATTTATAAAAAAAAAACATAAAGTATCACAAACGATAAAACCACACATAATTACTTTTTGAAATGCGTAAAGTCTAAATGAAGAAATTTAATTTAATTATCTAGACTTTCTTTTTTCTATTTAAGAGTAATTATTTTTTTTATTTTTTAATAAAATCTAAAATTATAGCGTAAATGGGTAACTTTTTTGCTGCTTTTGTTCAAAAATTTACATTCTAAATAGCATCAAAGAGTATCATGTTAAAATTAAAATGAACAAACTAACCAATTAAATCAACTTTTCTATTTTATTTTTCTTTTGATAGAATAATAGATAAATACTAACTTTTTAGAGTTAAAAGAATTTAGAAAGATAACAACTTAATTATAATCATCGTTTATTCTTCTTCGTCTATCTCTTGCTATTTATGTCAAGCCACATGTCAAGGCACTGGACCATTTTTGCTCCCATTATTTGCCATTGCTCCCGGACAGAGAACGCGTGGTTAGATGATCCAACCCTGATGGAGACGTGTCCGTAGAATGATTGAGAAACAAATATAATAATATAAACTATGGCGACGGTTCAGTGGAAGCTGGTTGACACTTGTCTGGTTGCAAGTGGGTATTAGTGCCGACGTAAGGGTAAAGTCATCAAAGCGGTGGCTTTAAGTCTTGAATTTTTATAAATTTTTAATTTTATAATAATAATATAATTAATTATCTTAAAAATATACAAAAAATAAAATATTTAATAAAATATTTATTTATTTTATTAAATCTAATAAGTATTTATTTTATCTTTTTTATATTTTTATTAATTTTTAATTATTTAATTCATTTTTCATATAAAAATCAAGATAATTAATAAATCTAAAATTTTTTTATCAATTCTAAATTCTTGCAATATTATTAATTTTTAATTATTTTTGTTATTTCCAATCAATCAATATTAATATGTATTTAATGATCTATAATAGTTTTTTTAACTATTTTTTTATTTTTAATTAATTAAAATATTTAATTATCTTTGATAGCTATTTTTTAATATAAAATTATTTTTTTAATTTATAATATCTAATTTTAAATTTTTATTATTTACATTATTTTTTTATTTTTAATTT